AGACACACCATACGTTAATAATTCTGTCCTGTGTGAGTGGAGGTATAGACATGTAGCTTCTAGGTGGATTTACTCTGCTTGTGGTAAGAACAATATATGTTACATGAAAAATTTATCCAATCAAATCTGTAAATAATCCAAGGATTTGGTTCCACAGCATAGCAGCATTACACATTCAGTCTTTAATAAAGACCCCTGTTAACTAGTGTTAATGAGTTAAATCCCTACTTTAAAAAATGTGTTTTATGAATAAAATTGTATTCCTTTTAGCACATGTATACATAAAAATGAAGTATTTTTTTGACACAGGATTGACATTGGGTAAAATTTTCAAAAGCATTTAAGTCTCATTTTCAGAAGTGATTTTAGGTACTTAGGAGCCTAATCCTATGTATTGTCAATTAGATTTAGACTCATAAATGCCTAAATTGCTTTTGAAAATGAGACATAGGTTCCTACGCTATGTAGGCACTTCTGAAAATTTTCCCAGTAACCATATAGCAGTACACGTTTCCCTCCTGTCTCCAGGAAATACAAAGGGACTGATCCTGCTGCCATTAAAGCCAACAGCAAAATCCATCTTGGTTTTTACAGGGATGGGATAAGGCCCATAGTAAGGATGCATATAACAAGCAAAGTACAGCTATCTAATACGCAAACCATTAGATATTTTTTACAGAGAGCATTAGTGCCAAAATCAGTAGAAATTGAATCCATATGGTAGGGAGGCAGGATAAACCATAGAGAAACAAAAGAAAGTCAGTTTATAGTATGTATGCATTCAGACTGGGATTTTCACAGGTGGCTAAGGGAGACAGGAGCCCAGCTACCATTGAATTTCAATGGGACTTTCTTAGTTGCTTGAAAATGCCAGCATCATATGTCAGAACACACTTGTTAATACGGGGTCTTTTATAACGTATCTAAAACATTGAAACAAAATTAATATTTACCAGGGTGGACACCTCTCCTTTCTTGAAGGTGTCCATGGCAGACAGAAAGCCATGTATTCTTGTGGAGTTCAGTGGTTCTGGAAATGTGGAGCACCATAGTATTCTACAGAAGATCTCTTTTATGTGTTAAGAAAAATTTGATCTCTTATTGTGTGATATGGTGGGTGTCGCACTCCCCCTCCCCTGGTACTTGGCCACCCCAGGAATTGCTCCTCTTTTAGTGTCCACTCTGTATAATTTATTCCCCTTCACCAACACCTGCACAGTGCAACACACCAGTCTTATTCCCTGTGAACTTCAGGCCCTGTTCATCAGGGCCCTGTGAGGAAAAGAGATCTGTCTTCCTTGGGATGGCCTTCAGCGTGGGCACAGTTAGCACTATCCTCCCACATCCTGATGCTTTGTTCCTGCTTTTTTATCAAGCTCATCAGCTGATGGGCCAGTTAGTTCCTTAACTCACCTAGCTTCCTTGTCTGTTTAGCTACTTCTTCCCTATTTCCTCAATCAGCCGTTGCTGGGAAAACTAATGGAGGCTACTGTGATCAGAGTGCTGACCCATTTATTAGACCTGAGCACTCTAACATACTGAAGAACGAAATTCTCAATTTTTTCCCCCATCTTGCCTCTTCCTTCCTTCAGTGATGCCAACCTCAGTGCATCTGTCATTTCATTCTTCTGAGAAATCTGAGGTATAATTCTCTACCCTTCCTGATGCACAAGTTTCACACTTTGTCTTCATTCAAATCCCTACTGAAAATTCACTTCTTTCATGAGCTGAGCAAATTGTAAACCTCACTAATATAATGCCTATAATGCCACCATCATCGCAGTGTGTGGAGAAAAATTTCAGAGTTAGTGGCATCTCCCTCTTTTGTGGTGTCTGATCTTTAACTTAAATGCTCCTTAGTTCAAGGATCAGGGGTAAAATCCAGCCTTACTGAAGTAAATAGCAAAACTTCCATTGACTTCAGTGAGACCAGGATTTCACCCCCATGTTTTTGTTTGTGTCTTGTACAGCTGTGATCAGCGTCTACACTTACAATATTGTAATAATGTCTTGTTTTTATAAAACAGCAGGTAAAGTGACCCAACATAAATACTGGTATACTTACAAATTGTTGAAGAGTAGGGAATATATTGAATTTGTGTTGTAAATGAGGCTGATAGTATGTTTTCCAGTTCTTTCAGAGCTGGTTTGCTTTGTGTGTAACCTATGCAGTCCCTCAGATTAAATGGTGAAATTCCATTTCTCACTGTTCTCTATCAGAAAAGTAAGGTAATGGAAAAAATGAATTTTGCTTTTAGTGCTGGTACATTTTGACAATATCAGTTGACAAGTAAATCTTAACAAACCTTTGACATCAAAACCAAGAGCAGGAAGTCCCGCTTCCTTCCAACCAATAGCATGGGGTGCCTAAGGGCAAATAGACATTTTCCGACTCTGATTCAGTTACCATCAACTGGAAAATAGTGCTAATGACTAATGAAATAGTTTGGCATCAAAAGCCATTAATTCTCAAGGCCACATAACCTATAGAGTTTCAGTTTTTAGAGCAAACTTTTCAAAGTTCTTTTGTCTCCAGAAACCCAATATGCACTAATGGGTTATATGATTTTTCACTCATAATCTCAATGTTTAATACATGATACCACTCTCAGGTTGTTATTTGTGTTGATCTTGAATGATTTATCATGTGTTTACAAATTAGTGTTTAACAGGATAGATTTCATCTGAGGAACAAAAATTACAAGTATCCTAATTTGAATGTTAGAGGAATAGTTTCTGCTGTAGCTCACGAAAGTTTATGCTCAAATAAATTGGTTAGTTTCTAAGGTGCCACAAGTACTCCTTTTCTTTTTGCGAATACAGACTAACACGGCTGTTACTCTGAAACCTTCTAATTCTTTGAGTCATATAGTTTACATTTTACAGTCAGAGTTTGCAGATGGGATTAGATGTGCTGGAGATTAACAAATACTTTATTTTCATTGGATGGATGGATGTATATTTATATTTAACAATGTGTTATTCGGTAGCAATGTATTGCAATATATTAACATATCATAGTGTTCGTATTTCCTGTTATCAGATTTGCTATCCACCACAAAACAAAAGGTGGGAGGTTTTAGGAATCTCTGCTTGTGCTAATACCTCTCTTTTCACATTAGGTTTACCACCAGCACCCAAACCTCCTCCCTGAACTGAAAGGATAGGAGATTCAGCCACCTCTGAAACTATTTATTGAGTCCATGACACATCACAAATCGGCTGGCAGGGCATATTTGGGGTAGAGTAGCTCATGCCTTCTCCTGTTCCTGAAAACCAAAAATGCTGGGTCAGGTTTTCCAGTGGTGTAAATCAGCATGGCTTTATTGCACTCAACAGAGCCATCTTGATTTACACCAACTGATATTACCGATCTTCACTGTGTTAAAAAGCAGGGGTCTCCAAGTTGCTGGAGAGGCTGGTTCTTGTGCCAGGCAGTATGCTCTCCAATGCCACTGGGCTGGCATATTTAATTTTTGCAAATGCTTTATTCTTTTATTTTGCAATGAGAGAGATGCTATATTGCCACAAATCAGGTATCCCATTCATGGGGCATGGAATAAAACATTTCTTTTCACAACAGTGGAAATGTATCATATACAGTAAGTATCTTTGTTGTTTTGAGTTAGGAGTTAATATGATGCTTTAAAAAATGCACACTTTCAGTAGACAATAAAGGATGATTTTTCAACACCAGGCGAAGAGGTTTGTTTGCTTGCTAGTGGTGATCTCGGGAGGGCACTAATTTTCCACTCAGAGTGTATTGTACATTTATTGATCCCTCAAAGCACTTAAGCAAAAGCTTAACTTTAAGCTGGTGACCATATGCTTGCAGTTAAGCACAAAGCCTTTCATGGACTTTTGATCAAGTGTTTGACTTGAAGCTGCTGAGCAAAATGAGAGGCCTGCACAGCTGCATTAAAAGAGAAAATGCATAAAATATTCATCGCTTCTGCCCTGAGAAAAGTTTAAGACCACCATCTCTGAGCTGGGGTAAAAACCCAGTAACTTCATAAGTTCTTCCTTTCTTCCAGATCTACAGGGGTAATGGAAGCTGCTCATGTAGCTTTCTACTGAAAACAACAAACAGCATGTTCAACACTCATGCTGTATGCTATCTTATTAGCTATGCACATACTCACCTTCTCTCTGCTCTTGGTCCATCTTTATAATCAAGGACATGGTGTTGAAATGTAAAAGGATAGTGCTTGCTGTGTGTGATATCATGTGTGCATCCAGTGCTTTGTGATGATGCATGGGTGTTCATTTCTGTTTTAGCCACACACATCCTGCAAGGAAATGTGAAATGTGGAAGTATATTTCTCCCATAGTCCTATTTCCATTGCTCTGCCCCTCCTCCCTTCAGCTTGTGGTGTCTCCTTCTCCTTTGTTTTCTGGCTTTCTTCAAGTCTGCCTAAAGAAGAGACAAGTGTGAGCCTGCAGAGAAATTATGTCAGCCTATCCTGGGATCACTTCTGACTTCAAGCATCCCTCATGGCAGTATGGTGCTGGGCAGTGCTATGTGTCTTGGTGCTACAGTAGAAAGTATTGAAAATCAGTGTGTATAATCACACATCCAAAAAATATCATCCCGAGACAGCCTTGATTGCAAACTAATGGTCTTTGCAGGCTTTGCTCACTGTAGAATTTTATTACTATACCAGTTTCCAGCGATGTGATACTTGACACAATTCCTCCTAAGACCTATTTCTATCCTTTGTATAAAGTGAGTTTTATTTATGCTATAAGTTTAAAACATTCCTTACATGGCACAAAGTAAAGTAAAGTGAGGAATCACCAAGGCATAATCAATATACTAAACAGAATGGTGGTAGCTCGTTTTCTATTCAAAGTATTTTTCACCCAGGGTTAAACTGCAGACCATTCCAATTTTATACATTCTTTGGGACTCTTGCCACTTTGTTTATTATCTCTTATTCTTGTTCATGCTCTGGTTGCCTGTGCACCACATGAAGGTATTCTATTCTATTTTCAACTAGGTGGTTGTACTCCCATCCAAGAATCTGACCTGGAGGAAAGGACAGGTGTACAGGATTCCACAACAATGTTTACCAACCACAGGCACCTCACAAAGCAGAAATCCAAAACTGGTAAGAGAAGGAAAATTACTCACTTGTATTTCGAATACAGAACAAATCTAACTCATACTTTGTGTCTGCAGGAAAAGGAGTAATTGACTGAGGTGTTTCCAGTTATGTTTTTTAAGTTTCTGGTTAGTAAATGAACAGCACTTTTCTAGAAATACTTTTAATTTTTTCCTGGTTCAATCAAATCTGATAATTTTATGGAGTCCAATAATTCTTCAGATTTTTTTTGCTTCAGAATTGCTGGCAATAGAGTAGAGACTTCTAGCTGAGGTGAATAACTTCCCCTGAATTGAAAAGATCTGGTGCTACAACACGATATGTATGAGGTAGCTGAGGACTTTAAACCTGACCTCCTTTCTGAAAGTTGAAGGTTAGGTAGAAATGCAGGTTAGGATATTTCAGTTTAATTAAGGTTTTTATTGTTGGGACGTAGTGCCAATTGATTAAACTTTGGTCATTACTTACTGTTTGTGGGAAGACTTCCTAGAATTTCAGAAAAAATATTATATTGGATATAAAATATATTGCATACAGTGATACATTTTCTTAACTTATTTTGAGTAAGAATGGTAAACAAATGCATTGTAGTTTAATAAAGTGCCCCATAAGATGCTTTCCATTTTATTTACTAAATTATGTTCCTGTTAAGTGGCGTATTTCTCATGATCAGTCATTCTAAACATAGGAGATCCTAAACGTGATTTGTTAATTATTGTATTTATTTTCAGGTTTCTCTAAAATATAATCAACTCTTTTTAATGAATTATTTTATGTGTAGTTTTAAAACAAGGTAAAATTTACTTCATCAGAAAGATAATACTGAGAGATCTGCTTAGAATGGGGATTTTTAAAGTGGGACAAACATGTCAGCATTCTTTTAGTATACACATATGTATGGTATCTAATTAAAATGTGTACTGGTCATTCATACTTTTCTCCACAGCATTGTATTGAAAGTTGAATGTTAGAATTAAATAAATTTACATTCATACTACCAGGATGGTGTCATGGCACAAATCTAAATGGATGATGAAGGCGGGGAAGAAGAATGGCAAGTGCACTCAGGAGTTGAAAGGCTAAGACCTGGTCTGTACTCAAGACAGGTCAACATAGCTATGGCGCTCAGGCATGTGGAAAATTCACACCTCCTGAGCACTGCAGTTAAGCCGACCTAACCCCCAGCGTAGACGCAGCCAGGTTGATGGAAGAAATAGTTCGTAGTTATTGCTGCTTGGGGAGGTGGATTGCGTACGGTGAAAACCCCTGTCCACAACTGTGGGAACCATGTGCGCTACGGCGGCATCACTGCCGTGCTGTAGCTGTGCCACTGCAGCACCCGTAGCGTAGACCTAGCCTAAATGGCGATACGTGGATAGATACTGTGACAGGGTTGGGACTCACCCCTGCGGCACCTCCTGCTGGCACATTTGGAAATTAGCTCTGTCCTCTGCAGGGCAGCTTCTGCTGGCGGTGTCCCATCCGTCCCTTGCCCTGGTGGCGTCCAGACCCGCGTTGCTCCTCACTCGGCGGCGTCCTCTTCAGGACACTGCCCTCCGGCAGTGCCCCCAAGTCCACACTCACCCCCTTCCAGGGGAGGGTTAACAGCAGTCTTTCCAGTTCGCTCCTGCCGCAGTGGCCCACCACAACCCCTCAAGTCTAGCCCCGCTGTTTGTGGGCCGGTGGCAGTCTGTCACGGCCACCCTTCCATGGCCAGCTGCTGTACAAGGAGGAAGGGGAGGACCCAAGCCCGCCCACTACTTTGGGTTCCGACCCAGGGACCCTCTAGTGGCAACTTCCCTGCCCTCCTTCTCTCCCCTTGTCTAACTGTCCCTGGGCCACTTCCCCTCTGGCCCTTCACACCCTCTAGGCCCTTTCTATCAGGGCCCACAGTCTGGCAGGTATTAGGCTGGAGCCCTTCTATGCTCCCCCAAGCCTGCCCAGCACTGCTGTGTCCGAGGTGCCTGTTTCCTGCTCAATAGACAGACCTTTCCCCATGAAGGTCTGGGACAGACTCACTGCCTCTTGTCTGGGCAGCCTTTATATAGGGCCTAGTCTGGCCCTGATTGGCTGCCTCTTGCTCAGCCCTGATTGGCTCCCCGCAGGCCCTCTCTGATTGGCTGCCTGTCTGTGCACCCGTTCTGGCCTGTGATAGCCCAATGTGGCCTTTTATAGATATTTATAAAATCCTTGTGCGGTTAAGAGAAATTAACAGGTGAATTATGTGTGCAAAATAATATTTGTGTGCACAAAATGTATCCTTACAAATGCATGATTTGTTTGTCTGACCAACAACTGTTTTGTTCACAAATGTGTATTTTGCATAAACAGTTACCCCGTGGTAAGCAGAGTTTAAGGGCTATTTTTTACCTTAAAATGTTTTAATTGGAAAACTTGTAATAATAGACAGGGAGGGAAGATGCAACAATATATAATATGATAAAAGTGAAAGATACAATGGGAGGAGTCCTGCATGTAGGTCAGCTAATAACTACATAATGTTAATTTTATTTAACATGCGGAGAACAGGATGACGTTACATGGTTCTGTAGAGAGCAATACAGCTCACGCATAACATAATTGCTTTGACAAAACCAAGGTAAGTAAGAAGAGGAACATGGAAAATATAGAATTCATTTGATCAGGGGGACCACGTGGATGAAATAAGCAAAGGCTGACCCAGACTGGTCTGGATTTGGTAAGATACATTTAGGTGGCTATTTTTTTTTAATTTAGCTCTCCATGTCTATAAATAATTAAGTCTTATGCAGTATACTGCAGCAAAATTTGTCCATATGTAACTGAACTCCAGAATTCTGAACTTCAGAATAACAATCTACTATGAAAAGGACAACAACAAAAAAACCTGTAGAAGGCTTAATGTACTGATTTTCCCTATTGACTTCAGGGCATAAGACAAAAAGATACTGTCAGGGTTGACAGACACTCAGTTTAACCTGTGTTATGTTTTTAACTGTCCTTCTGATCTGAAATATATCAGTTCTCCAGAACAAAGTCTGCAACCCCAGTAAAATTCCACCTTCACTGTTAGGAGACTACAACAAACTCAGGACATGTGCCAGGCTCTCCCTTCTCTCTGTTGTTGGTCCATCCTTGTGATCAAGGACATGGTGTTGAAATGTAAAAGGATAAGCAGGACGAACTCAAAATGCCAGTAAATAAAAACAACTGTGACATAGTTGGCATCACAGAGCATCGGTGGGATAATATGCATGATTGGAATATTGGTATAGAAGAGACCAGCTTGCTCAGGAAGGACAGGCAGGGGAAAAAGGGAGGAGATGTTGCCTTATATATTAAAAATGTATACACTTGGACCGAGGTTGAGATGGAAATAAGAAACAGACTTGTTGAAAGTCTCTGGGTAAGGATAAAAGGGGTAAAACCAAGGATGATGTTATGGTAGGGGTCTACTATAGACCACCTAACCAGAAAGTATAGGTGGATGAAGCTTTTTTTAAACAACTAACAAAACCATCCAATGCACAGGACTTGGTGGTGATGGGGGACTTCAACTACTCAGACATCTGTTGGGAAATTAACACAGCAGGGCACGGATTATCCAACAAGTTCTTGGAATGTATTGGAGACAGTTTTTTATTTCAGAAGGTGGAGAAAGCTACTATCGGAGAGGCTGTTCTAGATTTGATTTTGACAAATAGGGGGGAACTGGTTGAGAATTTGAAAGTGGAAGGCAGATTGGGTGAAAATGATCATGAAATGGTAGAGTTCATGATTCTAAGGAATGGTAGGAGGGAGAACAGCAAAATAAAGACAATGGATTTCAAGAAGGCAGACTTTAGCAAACTCAGGGAATTGGTAGGTAAGAACCCATGGGAAGTAAGTCTAAGGGGAAAACAATTGAAGACAGTTGGCAGTTTTTCAAAGAGACATTATTACGGACACAAGAGCAAACTATCCCACTGCATAGGAAAGATAGGAAGTATGGCAAGAGACCACCCTGGCTTAATGAGGAGATCTTCAGTGATCTAAAAATCAAAAAAGAGTCCTACAAAAAGTGGAAGCTAGGTTAAATTACAAAGGATGAATATAAACAAATACTACAAGTATGTAGGGACAAAATTAGAAAGGCCAAAACACAAAACAAGATCAAACTAGCTAGAGACACAAAGGGTAACAAGAAATTATTCTAAAAATACATTAGAAGCAAGAGGAAGACCAAGGACACGGTAGGCCCATTACTCAGTGAGGGGAGAAAAACAATAACAGAAAATGGGGAAATGGCAGAGGTGCTTAATGACTTCTTTGTTTCAGTTTTTACCAAGAAGGTTGATGGTGATTGGACATCTAACACAGTGAATGCCAGTGAAAATGAGATAGGATCAGAGGCTAAAATAGGGAAAGGTTTAAGTAATTTTTAACTTGTTAAGTTAAATGTCTTCAAGCCACCAGGGCTTCATTAAATGCATCCTAGAATACTCAAGGAGCTGACTGAGGCGATATCTGAGCCATTAGCGATTATCTTTGAAAAGTCATGGAAGATGGGAGAGATTCCAGAAGACTGGAAAAAGGCAAAGATAGTGCCAGTCTATAAAAAGGGAAATAAGGATGACCCGGTGAATTACAGACCAGTCACCTTAACTTCTGTACCTGGAAAGATAATGGAGCAAATAATTAAGCAATGAAGTTGCAAACATCTAGAAGATAATAAGGTGATATGTAACAGTCAGCATGGATTTGTCAAGAACAAATCGTGTCAAACCAACCTGATAGCTTTCTTTGACAGGGTAACAAGCCTTGTGGATGGGGGGGAAGCAGTAGACGTGGTATATCTTGACTTTAGTAAAGCTTTTGATACTTACTCACATGACGGTCTCATAAAAAAACTAGGGAAATGCGACCTAGATGGAGCTACTATAAGGTGGGTGCATAACTGATTGGAAAACCGTTCCCAGAGAGTAGTTATCAGTGGTTCACAGTCAAGCTGTAAGGGCATAATGAGTGGGGTTCCGCAGGGATCAGTT